TTCTTACATTCGTCCCTCTCTTTGTCTGTGCCAGAGATTCATCAAGTTGATCCGATAAATCTCAATCAACTCTATGTTCATTTTTATCTCAATTATTCCAATTACATGCGAGAGTCACCCATTAATTTCAATGATAAGCTAATTGACGGCGTCTTCGCGGATGAGTCTGACTCCTCCAACGGAGACTCATCTTAGCCGGCATACTACCTGCGTGTTCCCGTATTAGGCTGACTCTTGAGAACGATTATGGTATTATTCACCACTCAATTTTTGGTATAAATATCTAAATCTATAAATTACAATGTCTCTGTATTAGTTTTTCTAATTTGTGTATTCATTTGAAACATCTAAATTTTTCGTTACTGTGAACTGCTTTTCATGCCTGAACTTGAAGATTTTTTAAATACATAAAAATGTCATCCTCCCCACTGGCTGTATGGGCGGGTTGTCCCTCGCTGCTGCATTCTGTTAGGTGCTAAGTAGAATTTGTCTTCATTGTAAACAAATCTGAATAACAATTATGTAAACTATTTTCCAAAATATATCTCAGTAGATATATACTTGTATTTATATATTACAACTATACTCTAAATTTACTATTTATTTTTATAGTATTGAATAAATAATATGAATAACTATATAATTTAACAGTTTTCCAGTGATATTTATAATCTGTTTTCAATTCTTTATACGTGTGTGTATATATATACTAAGTAAGCATAGTACAAATTCCATATCTATATCATATTCATATATATTTTTCAAAAACACACATATTGAACAACCTTAAAACATGGTTTTGATTTATTTAATAGTATAGAAAGATAAAGACACAAAAAGTATTTCTATACTCATTTTTAGTTATGAGTCAATTCAAACTGTTTAGAGCATCGTTTTGATCATTTCCAACACTTCTGCAATATTGAGCAATACATGTCCTTCTACTAAATGGGTATTGTAGCCCCAAATGGGTATTAAACCTTGGTGTGTTAACGGGTTTTTATGAGCCTTAACAATGGGACTGTTCAGCCATCCACCTCAGTGGCTTTTGGATCTTCCTGATCTGGTAGCCTCCTTGGCATAAAAACCTAAAGCCCTTCTCAAGCCAATGTTCTTTACTTGGAGATGAAAGTCCTTAGACCAGGGCTTCAAATTTGAGTTCCTGTGAGAGATGGTTGTTGGATATTGTGTTTTGAGATCCTAAATGATTTTCTGATTTGCTTATTTATGCATAGTTCCTTTATGTAGTGAAGATGGCAAATGTGGTCTATAATTCAATAAAGAATGGTTAGTAAGCTCTGCTAATGGTTGGTCTACTACTTTCAGAAAAATTATAATAATATGGCCATCTTTACTTAGTTGCACCTTAGGAATCTAATTTTCCAACTACACTTCCTATTTTTGGTATATATCAGTTCATTCTTTCCACGTTTTAATAACAAAATGATGTAATTTAACGTGTTCTCAAGGCCCAATAATAGATGTATCTTATTGCATAAATAAATATTTAAGTTAAATGTATATATACTGTTTTAGTTTAAAGCCGATTTAAAATATGGTTTCAAATTAATACCTATTAATGTCATTATATTTCAAAATGCAAGAAGGTCTGCTTATATCCTTGGTTATATGCAAATGATATTTACTAAGATCTCGATATATAAGACCAAATATCAATCGAGCTCAATTAATATATATGTTTAAATATTAAAAATGATTTCTTCTTTGAAATTTGATTTATCTTATTCAAGGCAGTCAAAGTCGAGCGCCTCAGCGCTTAAGCGCACCAGGCAGCGCAATAGAGGTCCAACGCTTGAAAGATGACCAGGCGCACCCTCCTTTCTCAGGCGCAGCTTAGGCGCATAAAGCGCAGAAGCGCCGAAGCGAGAAAAGCGCACGCTTAAGTCGCCTGGACTGGGCAAGGTTTATTGGCCTGTTTTTTTTTGTTTGATCTTATTTTAAATAATAAGCCCATACTAATAATAAGATTTAGCCCATCCAAATAATAGGTAAAAACAACTTAAACCAATATTAAACCCTTCTTAGTCGTGGGAAAAGTCTTGCGCAACATGCTCAACGCTAAAACACATTCAACGAAGCCATAGAAGCCAGAAACCCATAAGGTGTCTTCTTCTTCATCTTCCAATGTTCTTTCTTCTTTTTCAGCTTGTATTTTTCATTTATCTTGTCATCTTCTTCGTGATACTTTCATTTTGTTCTTTCAGTCTACCTTCTTTCTTTACTTTTATCAGTTCCAGTCATCTTTGCATAATTTATAGTTCTTTTTTGCTTCTAATATATTCTATACAACTCAAACATATTATATGTACTTGACTACTAGCTCTGAGACCATCTTGAAACTAGAACTATTACAAAGGATGAAGAAGGAGAATCAAGATATCCATTAATGGAGGTTTACTTTTACAATAGGAGCTACTGCTGTTCGGTCAACATGAATCAGTATATATACAGTAATGTGTAACTAACTTCTAACGGTATTACATTAGCTTTTACACGTAAGCTGTACGTAAGCTGAGCTTTATGATGATATATTTCACAGTACTCTATATTATTTCATCCTATTAGAGTCTATAAATCTATATCTTCCTATTATCATCTCATACTTTAACTGTATAAAAACTTCATATAATCTAACTCAGTTAATAGTTTCATACACTATAATTTGTGTTCTTCTAGTAGTAAAATTGGAAAAAAAGACAGACCCCGCTTGGTGTTTTGTTTTTTTAAACCATGACTTTATTTTGGTGAATCATGACTTTATTTTTTAGAAACATGACTTTTTTATGCATTTAGTTCAATATGATATTGAATATGTCATATGTGATCAATCTAGAATAGTATACATAATATTGACTAAATAGTGCGCTTGACCCTAGTCAGGCGAGCGCTTTTTTGCGCCTTGTGCCTCAGGCGATACAAGTACTCTAGCGCCTTAAGTGCGCCTCACGACTTTGACTACCTTGATCTTATTAGAGTACTATGAAGTACAAAAGTTGTTTTACTTAAAATTCCAATTTTTGTTTGGACTTAATTTACCCTGTTTTTAACTTGCCTTTTTACTTACTAGTTACCTTCATTCTTTAAGGCACTTCAAGATTGACTGGTTGCATTTGAGCTCACATTCATGTTTTTGCAATTTGTAACTTATCTAATAATTTATCTAATATAAGTTGTAACTCTTATATGAATATCGACCTGATATGGAAGTATACAATGCTCTAGAGAACAGTTTGATCAGTTAAACATATTAAAGTGGATAATTTCTATTCAAGCATTTGTTATTTTCCAAAAATAAAGGGGCTCAAGAAAAAATGATTGTTTTTAATGTGATACAAACCTAGCTATGTTCTAACACATTATTACCTCTTTGTCGCAGCTCTAATCCTCCAGGCTCTATTATATTTTTAAATCATTATAGTCCGATTGAGAAAATGTTTATTTGTAGCGTCTTCGACCTAAATATTGTGTGCCATCATATGTATTATTCACAAGGGAATTGTAATAGTTAATTAGTTTAGATCATGGATTGCAGGGACCTATTAAGGCACAACTAAAATCTCAGGTATTATCCTCATCTTTTAATTTTTCAGATTTTACTTTGCATTTACAAGCCATCAAAGACTGATTGGTTCTAAAAACATTGACGAGTTCGAGTTTTTTTTAAACTTAACAACATGAATTATTAGTTGTTTTTATTTTTTGTAAAGAATAAAATATTTGAAGTTTAGAATTTAAACTGAAATGTATTGAGATTTATTTGCTTAAAAGATTTCATTTTTTTACCATTTATATATACGATTCAAAATATTTTAATTTTGAAACCCTAAGGAATTTAAAGCCAATTTCTAAAATGGTCCTAGTTTGGACCTTTTGTTTTTGCCATTGAGTATGTGTATGAGAAACATTTCCTGCTGTCTTACCAATGACATGTATTTATCCATTGTTAGAAAGCATACAAAAGATTAGGATTTATAAGAATTAATTATAGAGTTGTGTCTCACCATTGTGTTATTCAGCAGTAATTACTCATTAGATCATTAATACATGCTTCCTGCTATTTTTTTTGTCAGGTAAACACTACAAAGAACACATAAATTATATCTGTATAATTTTCATAAGTGTTTTCAGCACACGATATACCTGTTCATTATAGAAAATTTCTGCTAGTGTCTCCCATCCTAAAATAGGTACCAACTTCAAAGGCCAATACATCTCTCGCTTCCAGTGCTAATGCAATGACTTGTTTTGCTTTGAGGTCCCAAACTGATTTAAGTTGAACATATTTATACTACAAATTTTGAACTGCTTTTAGAATGTATGAGAAGTTGCCCAATGGACAAAAGTATTCAGCGTTTTTAAATTTTAATTAATGATCGACATGATTGTTGAATAGACAACACAATAAATTCACATTCGTACACAATCCAATATACAGCTCATTCGAACAGTTCATTTTGCATTTACTCATGTTATACCTTTGGACAATAGCGCCTAATATCCGTGTAAAAGGTCTACATTTAAACAATTGAAGCAACATGCAATAAATGTGACTGTACGATTTACAAAAGTCACTGTTCACTCGTACCTGATATCCAGCGAACCAATATTTAACAATATTTTGAATAGATCTACATTTAATGCCCTTCATCCGCATGACTTCAAAATTTATTGAGCAATAAATGAACTGTACTATTTTCTCAACAAAGCAATCTAACCCATTTAAGAAACCCGACCCCGTCACTGCACCCACTTCTACTCGACCCGACCCGTTACTGTACAGTGTTTGGGCGGGAACACTGTACGGTTTTCCTCATTCTTTTGTATAATAAAAGATAAAAGATATAGATAGACTTGTAAAAATATCTCTAAAAACATCCCTAGTTGACCGGTTGACCCGCACTTGCCCAGAGACGGGCTGAACTTACTTCGACGAAAGCCCAATTACTCTACTAACACTAATACCCATACCAATCCTGCAGCAACGTCTGACGAAGAGCTTCATACCCTCTCTGAAAGACTCCGCCTTTCTGAGTTTTCCATCCCTTTAAATCATCCAAAAATGGCTACTCAGATGAGCAAGAAGCGAAAGGTTAGTTATATGCAAGTCTAAATCTAACGGCATGGTACGTGTATGTTTTACATATGCTCAGACAAAGTTGTTTTTCATTGATATTGCAGTTTGTCGCCGATGGAGTTTTCTTCGCGGAACTTAATGAGGTTTTGACGCGAGAGCTTGCTGAGGATGGATACTCCGGAGTCGAGGTCAGAGTCACTCCCGTCAGGACAGAGATCATTATACGCGCCACTCGTACTCAGAATGTTCTCGGTAATTCTCTCCCTGACTCTGTTAGATACAATATTAAAATCGTTGATTTGTTCTATTAGACTAAAAGACCCTAGATTTTGAATCACTAAAAAGATTTCATTGCTCATGTATTCTATAAGTTTGATTTGGTTTTTTTTATTTGTGTTGGTTCCATCTTACTCTTTGTATATTGAAGAATCAATGTTAGTTTGACTTTCTACTTGTTTGCGAGACAAATCCCTAATGTGGAAATTTGATAATGTTATTCTGTTTCTCCATCTTGTGTGTATAATAACATACTAGTTTTCAACGCCCGATGCGCGTTCGTGTAAATGCCCAAGGCCATTGTAGACATAGAAATTCATCATATTAGATTGAGTGAATATAGGAGTAATATGAATACAACTTTAAAATGCAAAATTTAAATTTAATACGTGATTCACTTATCAGTAACACACCCACTACTACGTATAGTGAAATAAGTATTGAAGGAAAAGAAAACAGATCGCAAAAGTAATTGAAAGAAAATTCATATTTTTTATTTATTAACCTGAAGTTCATTTGAGTGCGCCATTTGAGTGCGCCAAATGTGTGCATATCAATTCGGTGGCTGTGAGTATGATTTAATCTGATGAAATAAACAAAAGGTGCTCCCATAACAGCCCCCCCCTAATGAACACATATTAGGGAATCAATTCATTTAGGGTTTTGGAATGACTTGTTAAGGTGAAGGGCGTAAACACTTCATTGATTATTCAATTTAGTGTTTAAATATAAAACAGAAAACGTACAAAGAAAGGGATACAAAGAAGTGGGGGAAACATGGCATCAAAGAAAGCATACAAAGAAAAGGATAGTAAAGAATAGCCTGTTAAATCAGTCTCACGCTAACTTCTACTTCAACTTTAGTGTAACCCCTTCCCGCGCACTATCATAGCGATTTAATAATTGTGTGTTAGAATGCACCGATGACTCATCTTGCATGGGAAAGTTGGTTGCTTCCTAGAAATGGCTTACGTGGTTCCTTATGGTTGGACCTGCTATAGCTTGTCTAGGGAATGATTACTTTGCATTTTGTAAATGGCAATACTGTGCTTGACATCAGTCCACTTGCTTTCAACTTGCTCTGTTTGAAGGACGATATTTTATCCTTCATACCCAAAACCCAATGTACCTTGGGAGATGTTATTTGTTTGATAACTATCTTAGCTGCATATTTTTAATTAGTCAACTGAGCTTTGCAATATGTCTTCCAAATGTACCAGCCTATAACACCTGGAAGAACTGCGATATATTGACCTTTCAGGGAGTCGCTTTTAGCAACAAGCCGGCATATGAAAAAACTTTGTTTGAAAGAGCTGTCCACCTGCCAATCAACATCCAAAACAATAGAGAAATATATCCAAATTTTAGCTATAAAAGAGCAACAATGCACGATATGATTTAGTCTAAGATCTGCGATAAAAACAAAGATACAAATAGCATGCAAATTCTCTGTTCTGAGTCAGGCCATGAATTTCATGATGTTCATGTTGAAACCTCAATATTCTTATATAAGGAAGCTATAGTGAATTCTCAGTTCTGAGTGTGTTTCCAAATGAGGCTACCGCCAGCCTCTCTTTCACCGTTGTCAAGTCCTTTTTTGGTGAATGTTACAGATCTTTCCATATATATGAGTCGGTAGGTTTGATATCCAATGTCTTATATTTAGACCAGAATGTCTCATTCTGCTAAAATATCCACCATAACTTAAAATCATATGCTCATTCCAGTTGAGACAGTGACCTAATGCCAACCTCCCTTCATTTTTGGATTTACACAGTGTCTTCATGTTTGCCCAGTGGTAGTTATCCCTTCCATTCTTATCACCCCATTGGGACATTTTCTCTCTCTCCAGGCTGAGAGTTTACTATCAAATTTATCAAGGAGCACTTCACAGCGAGAGAGCCTAGTAATAACTTCATGAATGGGAACTCCGAAGTAACTAAGTGGAAGACAACTCTCTTAATACTAAGAGCTCTTTCTTTAGCTTTCACTCTGACCGTTATAACTTATTTGGAGTCACAAAACTACTATTGTCTTTGTCAACTTATTAGTTCTTATATATGCATATATATCCAAAAATTAGCATAAGGCAAAATTCTACAGTACCTCTTAGAGAATGATGCCACATCACTACCCTAGTCGTACTTCAATAATAATTTCTATTATTTACATTTTAGTCCCAATAAATTGTAAGTTAAGTTTCTCTTGTAGATTCAAACTTTTAATTAATAAAATTGGGAAGTGTTCCCGGCAATCCCCCACCTCGTGTGGTTGCTTCGGGAAAAAAAATGCAAGTTAAGTTTTCTACTACTAAAATAACTGTGTGAAGAATAAACAAAAACAATGATACGATTACATCGTACCAGACCTTTCGATTGGATCCAAAAGGATCAAAATGTCTACCGTTCAATTTTTACACTAGTCCAGTGTTTTTATCTCCCCAAGATCAAATAACAGGTAAGTATTCACTGCGCTGCCGCTTTTCATCCAAATTGCATGACGCAATATTAAAGGATTTCAGTGAAAGGACAAACCTCTTTTTTGATCTTCTGCCACATCGCCTCAAGTTTTTCTTTTTCTTTTTTATAGTACTCCGTCGTAATATACGGACTATTTCTTTTATTCTCTTAAATTACAAATATAAGAAATACAAGTATTGTGATCATGCTTGTCACGGCGTCGCCTAGGCGTCGCCTAGGCGCCGACTAGGCGTCCAGGCGCTGGAGAGTGCTCGCCAGGTAAGCTCGCCTCGCCGGAAGAAGAATAGTCGAGGTTGGCGTCGTCCAGGCGTGAAGTTGGCCACAAGTCGCCGCCTACTTTTGCCCAGTCGAAAAGCCGTCCGCGTTCCGCAGGCCCAAAAATGAGTAAATTAAGGTTTAGTTTTTTAGTAAACTCATTTAATTAAGGATTTAAGCTTTTAATTAATTAGAAACAAAGCCCAAATCTAACTTAAGAAGCAGAGTCGTAGAGAACAACTCACAGGACCAGACGAACCGTAGAACTTGAGGAAGCAGAAGAAGTCGCCGGTCTCTCCAGTCGCCATCCCCGGTCCGTCGTTGAAGGCTTGAAGCAGACGACCTGAAATAGGTCCACCGATCTCTTATTGGCTTCTTGTGTAGCGATGTAGTGGATTTAGTTTTTTAATATTTTAATTAATTAAGTGGTATCAATATATGCGTATATATACTACAATACTTCTATACTGCGTATTATATAAAACGGTGAACATGGTGATATAGACTATTAAACCATTAATTTATTATACCGGTGATATCTTGATGTGCTCGTATTAGACTATTAGTTTAATAATAAACTATAAAACCATTCATTTATTATTTATTATATGCTATATAATAAAGTGCAGAACTGGTGAATGGTGATATATACTGATATGCTCGTATTAGTTTTATAATAAACTATTAAACCATCAATGTATTATATATTATACATAATATATAATCATATATATAATTATATATATAATATATTTTATATTATACATATATAGGCGACTATCCGCCTAATTGTCGCCTAGGCGGGCGCCTTATCGCCTAGGCAATATGGCGGTCGGCTGGCGCCGCGACTCGACTTACCGCCGTGACAAGTATGATTGTGATGTGGAAACTTGTTATAATTTGATTGGTTGAAAAAATTGAATGTATCGAAACACACTAATTATAGGGTGCACCGTGCACCGTAGATGAACCCTTAACATAGGATCTGTTTCAATCCCAAGGAACACCAAGGTTAGAAAGTAGGAAGGAAAACACTGAGATAAATTAAACCCAACAGTGAAGTACTTCAAGAAATGGTATAACATTTCGAAGCTTAACAACACAATTTTTATGCATTTTAAATGGCCAGCAACTTGAATACACACTCATAGCTAAACAACATTTAACTACCTTAGTATATACTTGGGGGGGTGGGGGTGAACCAAGGTATCCTACCATTAAAGGACCTTATAGCTCAAATATGCAGGTTATTTAGGTTATGACTCTGTAGTATAAACCGGAGCTAAAAGAATTCGACATCCATATTAAGCACATAAAATATAAAATATATAAAAGTAGGATACATACATATTACATGAGTGCCCAAAAGCTCTTATAGCTTGATATGAAGATTGCCAGAAGGATTTTCCAGAAATACTTTATAGGGAAATTCATTGCAAATGGAATTGTGCTCAACAAAAGGTAATTGAGACTAATATTTAGATAGGCAGTAAAATTAATTGAAGAAAAACAAGTTCACAAATGCCAAAGACGTCTACTTGGAGTAGGGTGTCGAGCAACAGAAGATTAAAGGGGGAACAATTAAAATTGTGAAAGGTTCTTGAGTTGCTATAACTTCCGCTGCTTAGGAGATGGAAAACTCTAATCGATAGTCGATACGATCAAGCTTGAATTGAATATTTAGTAAAGTGTTTAAATGCAATCATCATAAACCGCGAAATTAATGCCTCAGAGGCTGGGGAGAAGATGAAGGAAAAACGAAACTAATAACTGAGATGATTGAAAGAAGATGAACAGAATACTTACAGTGATGCTCGCGTCGGGCTTGTGTATGAGCGGAACGGAGTGAGTTCTTAGCCCTAGCCAAATCAATCTGGGTTGAATGTGAAGAATCTAAAGGGAGAAAAAGAGGTGGATTGTGTGGGTGAGACTGTTAACTGCAAGAACCGTTCAAGGGAGAAAAGAAGAGCAAATACACAGACAGAAGCTTTGGGTACATACCTCCAAAACTATGATGTTACACCAACAAATTTTCTATACCTAAAATGACCTTACTCTCATTGGTGTTTATAAATTTTTAAAGATTAAAATACAAACATGCAGTCTACTCACTCACACACAGACCCACACACACACATTGAAAGTAATTCTCTTTGTTTCAATTAATTTTTACTTTTTAAGCACCAAATGAATATAACAATACTAACATATACTTCCTCCGTTTCACAATCTTTGACACAGTTTGACACCAACACATTTTTTATGACCATTAAACCCTTGGCAAAATTCCCTCTTATAATATGGTAGAGAATCCAATTGTCATAACATGTTTGTTACTCCAGTTATGTCTTATATAGAGTATATTTTTATTAACGGGCTATTTTACATCCTATGTGAATGAGTGGATTTTTAGAAGTGTTCCAATTCCCTACTGTTGAATATTAATGAAATTTTAACTCTAAGATGTAATATACATTCATCATGTAAAAACAAAGCTCTGATTTTTCAAGTAGACAAATTACAAGTAGGTTACTCTCTTGGTGGCTAGCGTTTTTTGTGTGGAACACTAATACTTTTGCTTAGCAGGTGTTTGATACACTTATTGATTCTCAATTAATTATCCATAGGTGAGAAAGGAAGGAGAATTAGGGAACTGACATCACTGGTCCAGAAACGGTTCAAGTTTGAGGAGAACACTGTGGAGCTGTATGCCGAAAAGGTGCAAGATAGGGGTCTTTGTGCCATTGCTCAAGCGGAGTCCCTCCGTTACAAACTTCTTGGCGGTCTTGCTGTTAGGAGGTAAAGCTCATTGAGCTATGTGCATTGAGTTTTGTTTACTTACCTATTCAGTATGAATTTGTTGGTTGTTAACCAAACATGGATTGACGAACTAGAAAGTGATGAATGCAGTAGTCATTTGTGAACTTCAATTTATGTCATCAACAAAGCAAATTGATTTTTCTAATATCATTTTTGTGTCGGATGATGACTAGAAAAACTGTTTAACAAACCTCCCTGCTAATCAAGTGATGCTGTATTTCTGCATGCACCTCAAGTTTAGCTAGGAAACATAACTTCCTATTTTGCATTCTTTTAACTCTAGAATCCATGTGGTTTGTAAGCAATAGCTTGCAGATATGTTTTATACCTTTACAATAGTCGTCTATAAAGCAAATTGGTCGCTTTACATACTGATCTTGTGTCGGAAGATGAGCACAGTGTTTCAGCTCCTACATGACTGAATCAGGAGTTGCCTTATGTATCATTATAAGCTAACAAGTCTGTTTGGATATCAACACGTCTTGAAATTCATAATAAGCACATTATTTATTTATGAATGACTTTGATTGTTTTTATGTTATTTGTTTAGGGCATGCTATGGTGTCCTGCGATTTGTTATGGAAAGCGGAGCAAAGGGTTGTGAGGTATTTATTTTGGATATACTAATTTGATTTCATCTTGAAAGAGTGTGGTAAAATTCTTTTCGTTTTTTAAGGTAATTGTCAGTGGAAAGCTGAGAGCACAGCGTGCTAAATCTATGAAGTTCAAAGATGGTTACATGATTTCTTCGGGTCAACCTGTGAAGGAATACATCGACACTGCTGTGAGACACATTCTAATGAGACAGGTCTGCCATCCTTTCCTCACTCTTTATATTATGTTAAAAGAGTTTTGTTTGGTTGAATGAGCATCATGTGTGAACTTTATCCAGAAGTTCCAAAGATAAATATGGTGCATTTAAATAAACACCTAAGCAAAAAATACTACTTCTTTCCTGAAATTAGAGTGTCATGATAGGTAGCTTGTTTGATTAAATGAACATTGCATGAATTTTATTTGGAAGTTACAAAGACGCACTGTTCAGTTAAATAAACACCTAATCAGAGAGTAGCCCCTCTCTCCTTTTGACTTTGCATAGATGACAACTGTGTCAAACTGCATCATCTTACTTTAGTTAATTTCTTGATATTTTTTAGAAACAAATAATCATGTCCCACTTGTGTATGCTACCTTTGTACATTATTATTTCTAATAGTTTGACCTTTTTACTAATCTCTTTAACCGCACCTTACTTATTAAAGTTGTCTCAATAAGAAATTTTAAAATATCAATCTGTTAGACTTTTAAATAATACGGAGTAGTCAATTATATATGTAAATGGTCAAAATTTTGGATTGGGAAATGTTGAGTTTAGAATTATATAAGTTACAAAAGAACTTTTGATTTCCTATTTAATTATTCAAGTTTTATGGAGCAGTTGCACCTATGGTTAAATGAAGTCATTATAGTATGATATAATGGCATGAATATTACCTATAGGGTTTCCATAGACTAAAATATGACCTTTTTAAGACTTCACACAAATGTGACTTACAATTTCTCTCATCTCTCACTCGGCAGTCTTCTCCATCGCATATGGCAGTCTTCTCCCTCGCATTTGTTGTCTTCGTATAGCACCTCAAAGGTGACGATTTTTGCAGATCAACTAGCACCTCCACCGCGGCTCCACAACGGCGAATTTCTGCAGAAGAACCAACACTTCCGGGGCGGCTCCACAACGGTGAATTTCTGTAGAAGAACCATCACCTCCACGAACTTTATCGATCCGGCAGCAAGGCTCATCGATCCGGCAGCAAGGCTCGTCTATCCGGCGCAAGATTCTCGTAGATCCAGCGAAAAGCTTTTTCATCCGATGAAGAACACGGATTTGACAGCCTATTACGACGAGCTCAAATGGCGCCTCTCCACCTTGTCTCACCACTCTATCATTGTCTGCCTCTTCGCATCATCGAACTCCAGATCTGATATGGCGACCAGCAAGCGACCAGATCTAGGGGCGGCGGCTAGGGTCGGTGGTCGGGGTTGGGTTAGGCTGTCAAAGGTGGGGTTGGGAGGGGTGGATTGGGTCTGATTACGTTGGTCGGAGTTGGGTTAGGCTGTCAAAGGTGGGGTTGGGAGGGGTGGATTGGGGCTGATTACGTTGGTGGGAGTTGGTGTGCGGCAACAATAGGGTGGCTGGAGAGGGCGGAGTTGGTCGGCGGCGGAGCATCGGCGGTGCAATATCTGTCTGATTGGCAGTGACGGAGAGGCCAGGAGGTTACCTGGGGCTAGGAGCCTAGGAGGGGGCTGGGTAGTCAAATCAGGGTGGGGCGGCGGTTGGGTACACTTGGTCATTGGACAGTGGTCGGCTGGGGAGGGGGCTAGTGGGATGGGGAGGGGTGGGTATGGGGGTTGAGAAGGCGGCAATGGCGGTGTTGTTAGTGTGGTGGCCAAATTTGGTTGAAATTTACGTTTGCAGCAATCATAGTGACACCGGCGGTTACAATGACACTGTCGGTGGAAATGTCACTGTGGTTGTGGTCAGAGGTTGGAGCGGAGATCATTAAGGGCACAGTGACATGTTTGACGGCGGCAAAGTGACGCGTTTGACGGCGGCACAGTGACACATTTGACGGCGGAATGACATATTAAAGTGACATGAAAACTGGCAGTGACATTCAAAAGTGACATAAAATCAGTGACATAAAAAATTCCAGTGACATAAAAATCTGTGCAGAACTATGTTTTTTTCAAAAGTGGTCACATTTTTTGGAAATTAGCTCTAAATTAGTAATATTCATGTAAAAAGCCCTTATAGTATTATGCTTATGACATCAAATGGGACAGCAGGTGTATAAGTAGAACTTATAATTCATATCATGTTCACAGACCTTGCAAAGGTGTATCTGTGCCAAACCTTGCTAAAAGTTTACCTAGTTTGTTAAAAAACTAATTAAAATGTTCTTAAGTGTCTTGATCTTGGAATATTATTAAACGTTGTTGTGAATCTTATTATAATCATTATCATCATCGCAGGGAGTTTTGGGCATAAAGGTAAAGATCATGCTTGGGCACGACCCTGAGGGAAAGACTGGGCCAAAGTGTCCACTTCCAGATCTTGTCACTATTCATCCTCTTAAGAATGAGGAAGAAATCACCCCAAAGCCTCATGCTCCCACAATGGCAGTAGTGCCAACCACTGATATTGAAGTTCCAGTTATGTAGGTCTATCAAACGTTGGAGCTGTGTGCTTACCTTATATGATATTATGGATCATGTGTTTCTTACTACTTTGTCCCTGCATTCTTACTTCTAAGATGATGCGTGCCAGGAGAATTTTGTTCTTTTAAACGTTTCCAACTCTATTGCATGTTGATGTTTCTGTCATTGAAGAGTTTTTATTCTAAATGATCTCCCACAACTGGCAGACTTGCTATGTGGGCAATGGACATGAGTGAGGTTCTAAAAGTAGTGTTGTGGTAAATTTACATCTGGGTTCTAATTAAATACTTTTATTATTAACATCAGTTTTTTGTCACTCTCGCTTGCTAGTAATTATGTACTCTGTTTTTTTTCAATTTCAACTGTTCACTTTTCACATTTGCTGACGCACAAGTTTGACCATTAATATCTTTCATGCCTTATTACTAAAAAACAAAAAAAATCAGATTTTTTGGAAATCTAAGAGAAGAATTTAGCAATATTTTTTAAAATTTAATTTATAATACACTTATAAATAAAATATCATCAAAGTAGAATTTGTGAATAGTGTAAAAAGTTCAATCAATGTTGCGATTAAAAGAGAACGAAAGTAGTATTAGTGAAAAAATTAGTTTAACAAAAAAGCCTTACTTGAGTCTCTGACGGTCTGACACTCTGACCCGGTGGTTACCCGGGCTGGTCTCGGGTCCACCATTTCTGACCCGCCGGCCTGCCCGGGCCTAGGCCTGACCCGGATCCGGCCCGGACCCGAGTCCACCCCTATTTGAAACTGTTAGTGATCATGTTTTGAAATTCCTTAATAGTATCATTATGTTTTTCTTCTCAAAATAGGGATATTACTATCGTTATTGAAAACATTGTAATTAATGATAGTAAATAATGTAACTATTTCAAAACTTTTTAGTCTTATTTCAAGAACTTTCCTTATATCAAAATAAAAAAGTAGAACATTGTCAATATTGATGGACTCGGGCCGGGTGGCCCGATCCTGAACCGGCCCGGGACCGGTACTGTTCCGGCCCGGCTCGACCCGGTGTCCCGGTCAATGACTGGTCCGGGTAGGCCCAACCCGTGGGTTTTCTGGTCCGGGCTCGGGTCACCCAAAACAAGGCTTGACCCGGCCGGGCTCGGGCCCGGTTCGGGCCAAAACTATTTTTTTTTCAATTTTTTTAAATTTTCGGGTTGGGCTGGGTATTTTGGGTCATTTGGGGTGGTTTGGGGGGTTGGGGGTGGGAGGGGGGTTAATTAGGAAGAGGAAAAAAAATTGATAATGGGCCCGGACCGGACCCGGTGGTTACCCGGGCCGGTCCCGGGTCCACCACTTCTGAACCGCCGGCCCGCCCGGGCCTAGGCCCGACCTGGACCTGGCCCGGACCCGAGTCCATCCCTAATTGTCAACATAAACTTCATCACTAGATTCACTACAATAAATATAGGTATAGATTACATTAAAAAATTAACTTTGCATACCTACAACGACCTTGAATTTTCATAATAATAAATAGGCATGGATTGGGTCAGGCTCCGGGACTTGCTGGGACAGGACAGGGTTTTAGGAATGAGGGCCTGGTACAGACCCGGGTTGGTAGCGGGATTGGGTTGGGCCAGGTCTCGGGTCGGGTTGGTCAGGTTTTTTTTTTTTTTGATAATTTAGTTTAAAGTTATCTCAACTGAAAATTGCTACAAATATGAACTACAATTGAAAATTTATTAAATTTGAAGCACTAAATACAATTCCTAAAAATCAATCGGAATCTCCGCCACTGTAGGAATTTACGTTGGGCTTTCAATCAATTGTGGAAGCAAACAAACATCTCAAGAGATTTTGCGCTCAATTTCGTTCTATAATCTGTTAGGACGTTGACGACTGTGCTAAATTCCACGGCAACGGTTGATATCAACATTGCTATCATTTGCTTAGCCATTTTTTATAAAATCGGGAACGTTCTCTCTTTGTCCTTCCATCACTGCAGAACATAACAGCCATCCCCGTCTTCATAGTCAACATGAAATGTTAGATATAAAGAAAGCTCGATAATTGAGCTTTGTGCGACAGTGGCAATTGATTTACTTCTTTTCATAAGTTTGTCAACTGTAGATTTCAAAAACGGTGTTACTGTAGATGAAGAAGATGTTCGTGTCGGGGGGGGGGGGGGGGGGGGGGGGGGGAGAGTGCGTTAACATATTGTACATGAAATTCATTATATAATTGATGAAATAAGTTACTAATCTCGTTGTATTGTTTTTTGGATCTATGGGCTTAACTTCGTACATAGGAAATGGACAAAAAAAAGAAGCATAATAGTACTGTAAACAACTTTGAAAAGCATTAAGTTTGAAACGAGTATCAAGAATAAATGTAATATCATTTTTTTACTCCAGGGGTGGTCTGGGGGAGGGGGCCTGGAGTAATTAGGGCTTAAACTCACTCCATTGAGTTTCAAACCCTTTGTGTGCCTAGCGGGATTCGAAATCGAGACCTCCCACTAGGTACGGTAACCTCATATATAAGCGAAATATGTGAATAATAATATTTTAAAAACTTTTCTGGGATGAAAGAACAAAAACGATGAATGTAAGGAGCATCAGAAAATTCACAAAAAGCACTGGCGAGATTAACAACTTCAACATAAAATTGGTTTAAACGATGAATGTAAGGAGCATCGAAAAATTCACAAAAAGCACCGACGAGATTAACAGCTTCAACATAAAATTGGTTTGCGATAGATTTATAAACATGACTAAAAGTTTAGTTGCATTATTAATATATACCAAAACATTGACAATTTTTTGCATAATGTCGATGTTAGTCGGATTTATAGTATAGTTAGCATATTATTTTAAAAAAGCAGGAAAATGGTCTTTAAATCTAATAAGTACATCAATTAAGTTATAATCACTATTCCAGCGAATAGATAAATCTTTAGGAAAAACACAATATTTCACACGTCTATCCTTCAAATATTGACGCCATTGCATTTTAAGTGGATTAGTAGCCCAAATAAGTCTAATTCCCCCTTCACTATCTCCATATCATCTCCTAACGCGGCTAGCCTGTCTTTTACACATAAATTGAGAATAAAACATGCACAACGTTGATGAAAAAACAAATTCTTCAAAGTAGGACCACACAATTCACGCAATCTAGGTATTAAAATACCTTATCAATCAAATTATACTCAATTAAAATACGTTCAATGAAAATATAAATAATATCAGCGGTGCATCGGTCATTAAATTCACGAAAAGCAAAAACACGTTTATGCATTTCCCAATCATCATCAATATAATGTGTAGTCACACCCAAATAATATAAATAATGATAAGTATCCTACCATATATCATTATTTCATTACAAATACTAACACACCCATCAAAGTTTGTAAAAAACATTTGTAATCTCTCCTTTTCCAAAACATACCTTATAACTTCTTTTTTAATAGTTTTGCGACTATAGTTTCTAAATTGAGGATTTAAAGATTTTTGAGCATAAGCTTTTAAAACAAGACTTTCAGAAAAAATAAAAGACAATTTTTCTTCAACAATTAATTCAAACATAACTAAATGTTTGGAATCATCATAGGAGAAATTACCACAGGGTTGGCCATTTGCAAACCTCGATATTTGAGTTTGCTTCCGCTTTCCTTTTAATTTCGCATACTCCACGGGGTGACGGGCCTTAATATGCCTATCGGCGTCACCGTGTCCTTGTGAAATCCCAAGCTAATATCTTTCTTACAATGATTGCAAGTTGTGTACCACTTCTCGGTTGCCGGGTCCTTCCACTTTTTATAATTATTTTTCATAAGGAGAGATTCAACTTTCTTACCGGGATGGGATGAACCAGCCTCATCCTCGTCGGAGGTTGTATCATCGGGGGTTCCTTGACTACCATCATCGAGGGTTCCATAGTCACCTTGATCCTCTTCAGCGTCATCATCCTCGAGCTCTTCATCAATCTCGGGAATGTCTTGTTGTTGGTAAAACTGTTCATGCCCTTGGTTCAACAGATGAGCCAGTTGCTAATCGGACATCGCATCTCTCCGGTTGTAACTCGTGTCAAAATCATATCGGCTTTGAGAAGAAGACCGACACGTCCTTTACCCTTGCCTCGCAAATGAGGATGGTTCTTCCCAATCTTCTTCTTTCGCTTGCGTTGAAGATTACCCATATCTACAGAAAGTCTATCTCGTTCCATCTTAAAATGTGATTTTAATGTAACTAAAATGTAAGTAATTTGTAACAAATACTTATTGGTTGATACAAATAAAATGGGATTTTTATAAGAAAATGTAAGTATTATTGTAATATAACTACCATCGTCGGGGTTCCATCGTCGGAGGTTCCATAGTTGCTTTGATCCTCTTCGGCGTCGTTATCCTCGAGCTCTTCATCAATGTCGGGTATGTATCAGTTTTCATTTGGAAGTGAAAAAACAATTGGGATAGTAAACTTGGCACATGCTTCTTAAATATTATCATTGACATCATGGCCTCAGGCTATATGCTAAAGAAGTATATTAGTGGTAGTGCCAGATGAACAGCCTGTCCAACCCCGTTTCTTACTTGATTTCATTAAATGCTCTGTTAGTATCATTTTTAGTTTTCCGCCTTTTAGAGACTAATTTAAGCTTCTATGTTGGCGGCTCATATGCATTTTAGGCAGGTTTGTCTGCTAATCTTCATATTTAGAAACTTATTCTTACACGTTAGGAAGATTTTTTAGCAAAATTCAGAATGTTTTGCATCTAGGCATAACATTCTTTCATTCATTTTTTAGCAGATAAGGCAAATTTTTATGCATCTAGGCAGATTATTTCTCAAAACGAAAATAGCAGGTTATTGTTGCAGATTCTTTCTCAAAACATACTACTACAGTTGACCCCTCCATTAGTGAATAGTGCAAGATTTCAGATAAAGTGTGGTTACAAATAATATGAATGCTTCTTTAGAGCTTCTTTGTAAATGTCATTATCATTTAAACAAACAACATGTATGTTGGAACTTCTTTGATACATACTAGGTGTTTGTAAATATGTCTAAATGAGATTTTTCAGTAGATGGAGTTGATGTTAACGTTTTAATGATTACATGGAGTAGTTTTTTGGGTAGTTGGTTATTTTATGTGAATTTATTTATATGTTAGTATTGCTTTATTCATTTGGTGCTTAAAAAGTAAAAATTGATTGAAACAAAGAGAATTATTTTCAATGTGTGTGCGCGTCTGTGTGTGAGTGAGTGAGTAGGCTGCAAGTTTGTATTTTAATCCCTCGAACTATCAAATAAGTCCTCGAACTTTCATAAAAAGTGCAAATAAGCCCTTTT